ACAACTTTGCCAACTAATCCAAGTAATCTATTATCTATATATATTCGTGTTGATATACATATATCTAAAACGTGTACTATATATATGTATATATTTTTTGGATGCTACTAACGTTATTACATTGTAGTATATGTTCAAACATATTTTCTCGACCTATTGAAACACAAAAAGTCAATAACGCGCCTCCAAGGTTCGATCTCATGATCTAACTCCCATATATGTGAGGTCACTACATGCTATCTGAGCACAAGGTGCTTGGTCGTGTAATATATATATATATATATATATATATATATATATATATATATATATATATATATATATATATATATATATATATATATATATATATATATATATATATATATATATATATATATATATATAAGGGCTATATATGGGATGGGAGTGGGGTGAGTGGGGGCAGCTGCTCCCACTACCCCCACTGTAAATTCGCTCCTGTTCAAGCCTTGAGTAAAGATACGGGAATCAATCCGGAAGGTGGCACTTTAATCTCCGACTGCAAGTTCCTCATGACACGAGAATATTGAGATGAAGCATGTGCTACGTGAGGGTAATCAATGTGTTGATTTTCTCACCAACATGGGTCAAGACTCGCATTGAGACACTTCTATACTGGATCATCCTCTCAACGGCTTTAGAGATCTCCTTGATCGGGATGGTCTGAGAATAGCCACGAGAAGATTCTACTAATTACCTGGGACCTTTAGGTCCCTCCCTTCTACCAAAAAAAAAAATAAAATAAAAAAAATAATAATAATAATAAAAAGAAAAAGAAGAAAAGCAAAAGCATCTTAAATTTGAGTTCCCCGTCTTTGTAGTGTTGTTAACTATGTTAAATTTGTTAGGAGATAAAGGAGGCTGATTCTATTGTCAGTTTTTCTTTCACTTTTATATGCAATTTAATCTACAAATGAATAATTATTCTTCTCCCAATGAAAATTATTCTTCATTGTAGATAATGCTTCTTAAAATGCTTGGAATAAAATTTGTTGTTGTTATCCTCTTTCCTTTAGATTCTAACATTAATAATACTCCGTAGTAGTAAATAATAAATTATTGGAGTTTTTATGGTATTGTGTCGCATCTCTCGGTTTTTTTTTTTTTTTTTTTACTACTAGTGGTTCTTTTATCTATACTTTTTTAACTTGTTGAAATACGAAAAGTTAGCACCGCCTCCACTGAGGCTCGATCTCATGATCTCCCATATAGAGAGACACTACAGTATGACATCTCTAGTTTAAAGTAGAATAAAAATATGTTTGCACAGGCTTAGCTCATTGGTTCAGTAGGTAATATTTGAGAAAAAAAAAAAGTAAAATAAAAATATATATGTGGGCGTGAATTGGATGGTGTGTGTTTCTTCTAACTTAATTAGAGGTCTTGGGTTGAGAGTGCATGTGCCTTAAACCCATTATAGAGTACTTTATCACCCTTTGAGGTCCTATGTACTCGACGGTACAAACAAGACTTCATTAGAGTACTTTGTCACCCTTTGAATTCGTCCATGGTCTCAAGGACTAAGGAGGCTTGAGAATAGCCTAATGTACCCTCCCAAAATTTTAAAAACTTTCTTAGTACCCCAAATCCTAGTCATAGATTATAGTTTTGGTATCCTACTGTTAAAAAAATAAAAAAAAAAATCATCTTGTGTTTGACTATTCGTGATGAAGTCTGACCATAAAAATTTTTAAACATTTTAATCATCAAAATTCAGGGACAAGATTTCAAAATCCAAATAATTGGCTAGGCCTTTTAACATTACATTGATGTATTTTCATGAATCGGGCAGGGACGGAGTCAGAAATTCAGTTGAGGGGGGCGAAGAAGTCGCAAATTATGCCATGGAAACATGTTCACCATAAATGGTGAATACGGGTCTAAACGGTGTCATTTTTATTGGAAAAAAAAATTAGTTAATGTGCTGTTAACGGCGCACGTTTGTTCAGATTATGAATTTTCTGTTATGAGATTATGAATGTACTGTAAATTCATAATCTTATAACAGAAAATTCATAATCGCATAAAAGAAAAATATTTATTAAATTATGAATTTTTTGTTATGAGATTATGAATTTACAGTTATGTAATTATGAATTTTCTGTAAATTCATAATCTCATAACAGAAAATTCATAATTTCATAATTGCACATTCATAAAATTTATGCCTGCACATTCATAATTTATGAATGTTGAAGAAACATGCGCGAAGAGGAAGTGAAACCGCGAAATGTGAAAACGAAGAAGAAAAGTTGCGCGGTTAATTAAGAAAAAAAAAAAAAAAAGATACAGGTGCACCGTTACCGTTGGGACCGTGTACACCATGGTTGGTGAACACGGTTCCATGGCATAACGATTTCGAAGAAGTACGGACGGATTCAGAAAATTTTTTCAGTAAAGACAAAACATTAAAGCAAAAGAGATAATTTTTTAAAAAAATAAATAAATTATCTAAGAAATATAGTTGTAAATATTGTTGGATATGGGCAAAAAATAAAACACATTGAAACTATATATAACAAAATATGAAACATAATTAATTTGATAAATGTTATATAGAATTAAGTTCCAGTGCATTTAAGTGTTTCCCGTGCGATTGGGTGGTTTTAACGTGCATCAGTTTTGTACTTCAAGTGCGTGAGTCTTGTGCTTAATGTGCGTGAGGTTTGTGCTTAATGTGCGTGGGTTTGTGTTTAATGTGAGTAGTTGTTGAAACTTAAAAGGTGCTTGAGTTCTGTGCTTAAAGTGCGTGAAGCTTGTGCTTAACATGCGTGAGTTTTGTGTTTAACGTGCGTGAGTTTGTGTTTTGAAGGTGTTTTGTTTGTGTGCTTAATGTGTGTGTGTTGTGTACTTAAAGTGCGTCAGTTAATGTTTAATGTGCGTCCAACCGCACGGGAAGTCCCCTCCCGCACCTGAACCCTTCCCATGTTATATATATATGTGTGTGTGTGTGTGTGAAATATTAAAAAAACTATTAAAAACGTAAATGTGTTGAAGCCATATATAGGGGGAGGAGTCAAAAAAGCATTAAAACTATATTAATGTCAAAAAATTTGAACCCTTGACCTTTACCCATGTGCTCTGCCAACTAATCTAACTCATTTCTTGTTGACATTTAATAATCTTTTTATAGTAATACTAATATATATATATATATATATATATATATATATATATATATATATGTGTGTGTGTGTGTGTGTGTGTGTGGTGTGGTGGGGTGAGGGGCAGCTGCCCCCAGCCCCTGCCCCTGGCTCCATCTCTGTATATGGGAATTGTTGTTTGATGCCCAAAAAAAAAAATGCTCATTTGTAACAAAAATAACAAGAAAAATCATGTGGATGGAGCCAATGTGGCATCCAAATCGTACACGTGTCAAATATGAAAGTTACAAGCAAGCATGATATGGACCAAGTGGTAGCAACTGTAGTGCAATCCGATTCGTACACGTATCTGGTGATCCAGCTGTATTTCCTCCCGTCCACAAACACAACGGAAACCATATACTATACGTTCCGTACAGGTACACCAACACTACCTGCGATTCTTCTTAATCCCACCCCACTGCCTCTCTTCATAAAACCAAATTAAACTCTTCGGATTAACACAATTATTATTATTATTATTATTTTTATATATATGTCTATACCATTATAAAACTAATTCCGGTCTTGTGATTTTATTAGCAAATTGTTTGTCAAGTAACCCAAATTGTTTATTTTTAAGGCAATTATTTTCATTTGCTAATGCAGGGGTAGATTTTAGTAAATTATTTATAAAATAAATATAGTTTCAATTTTTAATTAATTTTGAAAATAATTAATTTAATGTGTCAAAGTTAAATTTAAAAGGGAAAAAAAAATATCAAACGAGTAGTGAAATTACAAAATTATATATTCAACAAGTTACAGATACTTTTAAAATTTGGGGACAACTTTTATCAAGCTGGTCAAACAATTAGTTTGATAATCACAAGGTTCCGAATTCGGCTCTTTGTAGTGTGGTAACTATATATTGGCATTTTTGGTTTGAATTGATCTGTCTATCTTGAAAGATTCAACGTTAGAGAAATAAAAATGGGTGACATTCTTGTAAGTAAAAAGCAAGTAATAAATAAAAATTGTGGTGACATCTTGTTTAAAAATGAAGTAAAAAATAATGCATCTATTCACTGACTTATGCATATGTGGTTGCACCCTATAGTGTTGTTTTAAAGTTTGAATTATTTACTAAAGTCTCCTTGCTTTAAAGTGTTGTTTTAAAGTTTGAATTCATTTACTAAAATCTCATTGCTTTGAAGTAGTTCCCACCCCTGTCCATACATTCTACGCACGACTGCATAAAAAGTCTTAATCACATCTAATCATTTTTTTACAAACAGTCCTCCACCCTACTGTTGGAACAAGACTTTCAAAATGACTCTTGAACCATTTAACTAAGCCCCGCAAGGCTCCTTAGATATTTTATAGGTATGTATCTATATATTTGTATTATACACAAGGAGAATGCAATTACTTTTGACATAAGAAGTGAATTCTATCACATTTGTATTCCATTGATTAGGACGCGTATAATAACCTCTTACACATTACGTATTTTTTACCTATCAAATATCCATTATAAACTCTCACTTTTTACTCTATATTACCAGCAACGTCTTGGTTGATAAAAAATATCATAACTTTCAAAGGAGTGTCAAAGTAAATAGTTCATTATTATTTTTTAATCAATATGTGGTTTTTTTTTTCTTTGAATGTGTATGTATGTAAAAAAATAAAATATTTTTTAAACAAAATAATTTTAATTTTAAAAATCAATTTACTTTCACTTGATAAAAACAGATGACGTGAAGGAAGTAATACTCCATAGCCAATGAGAATACAAAGAAATTAGCATTTATATAACGTGAGCACAGCCTAAAGCTGGACCACACCCATCTAATTCTTCCTCTATATAAACTCTTCCTTCCTCTCCCTTCTCCTTCACACCCAAATTGCCTTCTTTTTTTCTCCTTCTTGCACCCCTTCCTCCTTCATCTCTCACCTTTATCAATCCCATTCAACTTCTCTCTCTCTCTCTGTTCCTCCCCAGTAACCATGCCTGAGGCTCCCAAATGTCCCCAGAAAGCCGGAGAGGAGGAGGAGGAGTATGTTGTTGCGACCGAGAACAAGAAGGTTCTCCAGTTCATTGAAGATATCACCATGAACGCCGATCAGGTTCAGACTAAGGTCCTCGCCGAAATCCTCTCCAGAAACGCCGACGTCGAGTACTTGCAGCGCCACGGCCTTGGTGGCCATATTGACGCACAAACTTTCAAGAAAACCATGCCTGTTATCACCTATGAGGATATTCAACCTGATATCAACCGTATCGCCAATGGCGACAAATCCCCCATTCTCTGCTCTCAACCCATCTCTGAGTTCTTAACAAGGTATATTCAAATCCCAAACTCCAAAATACCCATTTTTTACTTCCTTATTTTTCCATTTCTTAATATATGTGTTAGGCTGAGGCCAGTGAACGGTCAAGTCCAGCACCACTGGACAGAGGTTCGAATGACCAAATCTAACATCATGTAGTTAGACAGAAGTCTAATGACCACGTCAAGTATCCTACTTAAAATAAGTTATAAGCTCTTAAATAAGTTCTGTCAAACAGAGCTATAGTCTTACTAGTAATGAATATATATGCAGTTCTGGGACGTCAGGAGGGGAAAGAAAACTGATGCCAACAATAGAAGAAGAGCTAGGGAGGAGATCAAAGCTTTACAGTCTATTAATGCCGGTGATGAGCCAGTTTGTGCCCGGGCTAGAACAAGGCAAAGGGATGTATTTTTTGTTCATAAAATACGAAGCCAAGACCCCAGGAGGGCTAGCGGCTCGCCCTGTTTTAACCAGCTACTACAAAAGCTCTTACTTCAAAAACAGGCAGCCAGACCCCTACACCAATTACACCAGCCCAAACGAAGCCATTCTCTGCCCAGATTCCTACCAAAGCATGTACTCCCAGATGCTCTGTGGCCTCTGCCAACGCCACGAAGTCCTCCGGGTCGGGGCGGTTTTCGCCTCGGGGTTCATTCGGGCCATCAGGTTCCTGGAAAAGCACTGGAAACTTCTCTGCCACGATATCCGGACCGGAACGGTTAACTCCCAGATCACTGAGCCTTCTGTGAGGGAAGCAGTGATGAGAATTCTGAGGCCTGATCCCAAACTGGCAGATTTTGTGGAGGGTGAGTGCAAGAAAGGGAGCTGGCAAGGGATTATCACGAGGATTTGGCCCAACACTAAGTATGTGGATGTTATTGTCACTGGGACTATGTCACAGTACATCCCCACCCTTGATTTCTACAGCAATGGCCTCCCTTTAGTCTGCACTATGTATGCCTCCTCTGAGTGTTACTTTGGTGTCAATCTTAACCCCCTTTGCAAGCCCAGTGAGGTCTCCTACACCCTCATTCCCACCATGGCCTACTTCGAATTCTTGCCCATTCATCACGAGAATGAACAGCAAGAACAATTGGTGGACTTAACTGATGTCAAGCTTGGACAAGAATATGAGCTTGTTGTCACAACTTATGCAGGTATACTTCATCACGTACCAATCTGTTAGGATCAAACACTTACCACTATCCTAAAAACTATAGTTTCCCACTCCTAGCAAAAAGTAATAAACTGTGCAGTTAAAACTGACCAGTACTAGAAAACTGTTGGGCGGAATCCTGAAAGTCAAGTCCAGCACATCCTAACTGGATGATGTACTCAGGGTCCGGGTCCGTTTCAATCAAAATAGGGGCTTTGTACCTGTCTTGAGTAGACATGCCCAGAATATACTTCACCACATAGGGATGTGTTAGATCAAACATTTACCATTATATCAAAAAATTTATAATTTTTCGCTCTTATAATAAATAATAAACTATAAATATTGGGGGAAGTTTGTAGGGCCAAGTCTGTCCATCACATAAGATGGTGTAATTAGGGTCGTTCCAATCAAAATAGAGCGGGTGGGCCCGGGTGTAATTAATGGTATGGTTACTAATATATGACATTGCAGGACTATATCGGTACCGGGTGGGGGATGTGCTGAGGGTGGCAGGGTTCAAGAACAAGGCGCCGCAGTTCAACTTCGTGTGTCGCAAAAACGTGGTGTTAAGCATAGATTCCGACAAGACCGACGAGGTGGAGTTGCAGAACGCGGTGAAAAACGCCGTCACCCATTTACACCCATTCGACGCGCACTTAACCGAGTACACAAGCTACGCGGACACCACAACAATCCCGGGCCATTACGTGCTGTTCTGGGAGCTAAACGTGAAGGGATCAACCCCGGTTCACCCTTCGGTGTTCGAGGACTGCTGCCTCGCCGTTGAAGAGTCGCTGAACAGCGTTTACCGGCAGGGGCGAGTGGCGGACAAGTCGATTGGGGCGCTGGAGATCAAGGTTGTGGAAGAAGGGACCTTTGATAAGCTGATGGATTATGCCATTAGCCTTGGGGCTTCAATCAACCAGTATAAGACCCCAAGATGTGTGAAATTTGCGCCCATTATTGAGCTCTTGAACTCTAGGGTTGTGTCTAGCTTCTTCAGCCCCAAGTGCCCAAAGTGGATCCCTGGCCATAAGCAATGGGCCACCATGCATATGGAGTGAGGTCGTCGTCCATGGCGTTTTTGCTGGCTGCGCTGTTTAAGCTTCAAAAAATATGGAGAAGAAAACGAAAAATAAACAAGGAAAACTGTACTGTACTGTACTGTACTGCTTTTGTAATCTTCTCTTTATCCGTTGTAGAAGTCAATCCAGTTTAATTCAATCCACCTAGGTTAACTCCATAATTCTTATGCTTTCTTTCTTGGACTTCTTCTAAAAGTAAAAAATATTCTGCTACTAAAATCATTCTTTAATATTCACTCCTTAACACAACGTTATCCATAAGCATGGTTGCAAAAATCCATCAAGGTGCCCCTGACCGGCCGCCTAGGCACCATTCTAGCGCCTAACTCGGCGGCCGCTTAGCGTCTAACTCGATCTGAGTTAACGCATTCATTTCGGTCGAGTTAGCGAAATTAACTCGGTCGGCTCGGCCTTGCTAATATATATATATATATATATATATATATATATATATACATATAATATGACATATATACACCCACGTACATGTACATGTACACTATGTTTTTCTTTTTTTAGTAAGCCGCATAGGCGCCCGCCTACGATGCCTAGGGGCTAGCGACTACTCTATCGCCCGACTAGCGCCTAGCGCTTACTGCAACCATGTCCATAAGTTAAAAATACATATTGTCCCACATTAAAAAAAAAAAAAAAAGTGATTTTAGTAAAACTCGACAGAATATTAGAGAAATAAATCATGAGGATTCAAAAATTCTATTAGGTGGGAGGACCAATGTATGGTGTACCCATCACATTTGGTGTGTGTTGGACAGAGGCCAATGAAGGGGCAAATTTACCCATTGGTGGCTAGGGAATTGTTGAGGCGAGACCCGTGGAGGACCAAATCCAGTATCCTCATCTCGAAAATATGGTGATAGTATATAAAGAAATAAAATTGTGTCTTCATTGTGAGCTATAACTTTTGGTGTAAGTGGTAAGCACTTGATTCTAATCGTGTAACCCTCACACTGAGGTGCTAATGTTAAGGCTTAATCATGTATCACTGTTCATAATTTATCATTTAAAAATTAACTAAACTGTCCATACAAGCTTGTAATTCCATACTGGTTCACACTAGTGAAATAATGTAGAGGTTGCCGGTCCAACACGCAACCCTAGAATATCCCCGCAACAAATTATTTTAGGCACGTACGAAATGGGAAGAGTTGGTGTTTTTAAGGAAATGTATTTTCTTGACAATTGCAAAATCTTGGTGGCACCAGCTCATTATTGCCATTTCTTGCGAATTGGTGGACAAATTTTTTGGCATTTGTTTTCTTATTTCCGGGCAGAAAAACTGCTCACTGAACTCTCGTGAGCACAGCTTCCAAAACTGTATCACCAAAAAATTTAAATTTGTTCATCGTATAGTGATATTCTTATTAGTTTTTTAGTAAAAGCCAACCAACTTTATGTCCTTCATAATTTAGCCCAGTGCTAAAGTAGTCTTAACCCTCGCAAAGCTCAACCAAAATGAGTAAAGTTTACATATCTCCAACTCAGCTGCATGCACTCACTTTCACCCATAAAGTTTATCAATAAAACAACCAATAATATGATCTTGGGGTGTTTGGTTATTGACTGATCAGTCAGATTTTAGCTGATTTGACTAATTTTGACTATTTGACCCATCAATAAGTGTTTTAAAGTGTTTGGTAAATGGTTGATTGGCTTTAACTGATTGGGCCAATCAACCAAAAATTGAAAAGTTAATGGATGTAGTTTTTTGGATCAGCTAGTTGGAATCAATTGTATATTGACTATTTTATCCTTGGGAATCAATGTGATTTGCTTTTAAATGGGTGGTGGGTTTGCCATTTAATAATAATAATAATAATAATAATAGTAATAATAATAATAATAACAACAACAACAACAACAACAACAGGTGGTGGGTTTGCCATTTAATAATAATAATAATAATAATTATTATTATTATTATTATTATTATTATTATTATTATTATTATTATTTTTACAGTAATTCATTTTAATTTTTTTTTTTGAGAAAGAATTCATTTTAAATTATTAAAATTGAAAATAATTAATACAAATTGTTTTAGAATATAATTTAATAAGAGTTAAATAAACGAAAATAATTAACTTATGTCCTTAAAAAAGTATAGATGATACCCAAATTTTATAATTATTTATAAATAAAAGTTTATCATCTTGTTATATTTAAAGGTTAAAATAACACAATATACTCATACCCTTAAATGTCATTTTACATTCAATTAGCTACTAGTAAACAGCTAATTTACCAAACGGTTTTTTATAACCAGCTAATAATACAACCAACTGGTCAAACCAGCTAACGCAATCGGCCATCAACTACATACTAGCTAAACCAATCAGCTATCAGTCGTTAGCCAAACACCCACTTTATCAATGATCGATTGTTTAGATTAATTAAACACGTACCGCTCTACCAAAAGTTATAGTTAGTAGTAAAAACGTAACTTTATTTTATTATACTTGAATAGTAACCAACGTCATGTATGTTTCGATACTAATATGCTATACTTAGGTTTTGTAAGACAACAGCCAACAATTTTGCCTTAAATGACAAATAATGTTCAATTCATTAACTTGTGGTACTGTGGTAGGGTCGGATAATTTACATATAAGTTAGTTTAATTTGTTCTTAAATTTATCCCATTCACTTTTTGATGTGGTGATCTAATTTTTTGTTATTATTTATTGCTCATGAATGGATAGATTTCACCAAAATAAAAAATAAAAAAATTATTTAATAGTAAAATATAAATCATATTCACATAGTCGATATAATTATTTTTGTCTGTTAGATTGCATGTGGTAGATCAATTATAGAGCCAAGTACACAATTACACACTAGAGGTTGTATATATTATTTGTGTGTATATATATATATATATATATATATATATATATATACACTACACAATGAGCGTGTTCAATTTTGCTTTAAATTCTAAAATTTATGAACACACGTTCACAATACATTATGAACGTGTGTTCATAAATTTTAGAATTTAAAGCAAAATTGAACACGCTCATTGTGTAGTGTATATATATATATATATATATATATATATATATATATATATATATTTTGTTCTTCGATCGGAAAATAGACAGTGACCCATCAAGAATTGGCAGCTAAGGACCTAAGTTTTGAAGGCAAAATAGCAGATGTGCATTTAATGCAACGTGACCATATTTAATATTTTTGAGCAAATGCAACTGAGAAAAATGGCATTGTTGTGTAAGATAGAAGGCAAGGCATTCCCCACAAATGAAAATGAGGCATGAATGCATCTTTGGAGTAGTATTGGTAAAATAGTTAGCCTATCAGCTAATTTTGACTTAATTGATCACTATTAGCCGTTTGACTTAGTTAAACAATTAATATGAGTGTTTGATTAATTAGTTTTTTATAAGAACTTATTGTTTCAAAATGCTAAAATTCAAAAAGCTACTCAAAATAGTTTTTTCAATCAACTTTTTGAGAAATTAAAGTTATTTTTTATATAATCAGCTAACAGCTAATTTACCAAACACTTTTCTAAACACACTAACTCAATTACCTAACCGCCATTTACAAACTCCCCCTTAAGCTGTTTAACCCAGAGCATTATATTATTAAAGAACTTGTTTAGCAAAACCCTATACTAAAACTATAATATTATCCTAGAGAAATCTTACAATACTGAATATTAACAATGCCGACTACTTATACATATATAAAAGGACAGTAATGTTTTTGTAAACACTTCCACGAAGTTTAATTTTACTTATAGTAACGGACATTTTTATTATTCACATACAGATGATATAGTTACCAATTCAATATAATCTGGGATGGATCTTGGCCATATATAATTGATAGAAGAGCAGAGAAAGCTGATTGCAATTTGATACCTGATGGAAAGTGATGGCTGGGGATAAAGAGAAGGTGAGAGTGGATCTTATGGCCCTTTCTTCATATGAGTAGTAGTAATCTTTGAAAATATTATAATGGGTGTGTTTGTTTAGATGTTTGTGTAGTGGAGTACAGTGGTGCTTTCAACCCTAGTGTACATATTTGTCTTCTCTCACAACTCATATCCCTCAATTATTAACACTATATCTAATCTCTATCCCAACACCGTGAGTTTATATATATATATAGGGTCAGATTCTTGTATGAACAGGTTTTCTCGTGCGGTTGGTGCGATTTACACCATTAGGTATACATAAATGCAACAGTGTTCGAAAATACACTATTATATGTGTGGTGCATTTTGTGGCATTTCATTATGGTGTATTTTCGAACACTGTGTGGTGTATTTATGCATACCTAGTGTAAACCGCACAGAAAGACCTGTTTTCATTTGAACCAATATATATATATATATATATATATATATATATATATATACACACACACATATCTTTTAATTAATAAATGACATTGAAAATTTAACCAAAAGCAATACCATATATTTAGAATTAAATTGAAATTAGTAAAACAAATTGTGAACCATAGATGTATATATGTGTTAATTTGTATACGAAATTGAAATTATTATAAAGTTGTTAGAAGGCACTATTGCCCTAGATGTATGTGCAAATTCTATGTTTCATGCTTTAACAAAACACATTAAAATTGATAAGTGTTAATTTCATTTTTTGTCTTAGATCTATAGGTGTCAATATACTTTTAGTCCTTTTTTTCAAAATATCCCTTTTGATCCTAGTATTATTGTGGCATGACCTTTTTTGTCATCAGTCAACAAAATTGTTTAAATGACTTTAAATATAATAGTATTTTAGTATATTCAGTTCCAACTTCCAAGTATTAAGTCATTTTTCCTTTTTGGCCCTAGATTTTTATTTTTTATTTTTTTATTTTTTTATTTTCTTTTAGGCCCTAGATTTAATGTGCCATTTCATTTTTTTTTTTCAAAACATCAATGTTGGTCTTAGCATTATTGTTGCATGACCGTTTTTGCCCTCCGTCAACATATATGTTTAAATGACATTAAAAATAATGTTATTAACTACATACTCAAAATCTTCCTTTTTTTTCTTTTTAGTAATAAAATTGTTATCAATATATAAGTCTACTGCAAAATTTAAAAAAAAAAAAAAAAAGTGCAATTGAAAAAATCACAAATCTACTTCATG